CGTTTGATTTGGGTGCCGTGATCGTGTCTCTCTAGATCTACTCGAGACTCATCACAACTTGGCCATCTCATTCCTGAACAAGGAAAGACACACGAAATAGCGGCCTCAACACAAATGCTGGCTCAAATAAGGGCTCATGCATGCTGGATGCATCCTGCTTTGTGAATGGAAGTCATCAAGGCTGACATGAGCACTACAGACTTCGGCCTGCCTTGCTGTGGAAGAACATGTTCGAGGTGAGTCGCCAAATGGACTTATCCATGACGCTGGAGTGGTTGAGGTCGAGAAAACCAGAGCAGCACTTCAAGGTCGTGCATCAGATAGCAAGTGAAAGGGCTTCACCTTAATCTTTACGCCACGTGATGGACGAAAACAAGATGTCGAGCACACTCGAGCTGAAAGTTGAGCGGGCATGACGCACAAGGTCAGACAGACATCTCGGGAAGTAGGCGATTCAAGCATCAGCGGGAAGAATGCCTGTCAAATGCGAGTAATGCCAAGAATTGCCGAAATGGAGTCCCGAAAAGCTTCGCCTATGATCTGCGATGACGAGGCTTCTGCAGCATTATGATTCATGAAGCTTGAGCGAGCGTCACGGATGCCCAGTAACTCAGCTCGAGCTAAGGTGCATCGTCGGCATCTTGTCGAATAGAACTTCTCACGCGAATCACGAGTATCGCATGCGCTAGCTGCGGTTGATGGCAGAGTGGTGATTCCTTACACGGACGGTGAACTGTGCCGGGCTGCCTTGCCTGCATGTTGTCCTCGGTGTTCAAGACTATGGAGAATTTGTCACGGCATCAACGCATGCCAATCAACATCAGCTTCTTCTTGACCTCGCCCTGAGCACATCGATTTTGCACAAAAGACACGCTCACTGATTTGGACGTTATCGGTCTCAGGTCCTGAAAGTAGGGATCGCACCTTCCGCCATGCAAACACGAAATGTGCATGCAGCAGGCATCCATCTTGGTCTCAGATCAAATCCAGTGGTGAGTGTCCCATCAGCTCTGCCAAGACGACCAAGCCAAAGCGATCTACAGAATCAAAAAAACGAGTCCACTACCTTTGCGGCTGCCAGACACCCTGCACGTCTTGACGTCACTCAGCATGTCATCCTCGTTGGCTACATAAAGACGAAAACTGCGTGATTGAGCCATGACAGGAGTCATGTGCGACGCGTGGCAGGTCCGCAACTCTGCGACGTGGTACCTGTCGACCCGTCCTGCAAGAAGGCGCAGTCGTGAGTGGACATTTTTTCTTGCGCTGGAGTCTTGATCAAGAATGTGGATTGCTGCGTGGTGATTGCATACATATGCTGTTGGCGCCTCATTCGTGACTCTGATTGCTTAAGTTGCTGGCTGGACGCAGCAGGAAACTTTGACACGCGATAGAAGGACCATGCGCATACGCATGCAACCGCGATTCAGCATCAACCGTGCGAGCGATCAGAATGAGTGCTCAGGCCTCAGCAGCTATACGACATCAGCACGCACTTTGACGCTCAATTGGTCTCAGGTCCAAACTGTTCCGTCGCATAGTCTGCTGACTTGGATTCATACAATAAGAAACAAGACACATGCAGCGGTACGCGACGGCGCACGTGCATACATGCCTCACAGCACTACTAACTACTACTACTCTTGACTTGAATCCATCTCGCGGTGAAGGGACTCAAAATATACTCCTCGGACCGGGGTACGCTCGTCGATGTGGACGTCGAGACTTGATCGATACAGCACCCAACCACACTTTGAGCGCTCATTTCGCGGCTTGATCTCATCCTGGCCGCAGGCATCGCAGGCGATCAAGAACTCGATCCGCGGCTTCTATTTTTGATGCGCAATGATTGACGGTTCCAAGCTGAAGCCTGCAATCGCCGAGAGATTGCGCGCACAGCAACACCAAAGGGAGTGAAGGCTGCGTGCGCATACATCGATCAATCAGGGGCACGGAGTGACTAATCATTAATTAAGATTCAGAGTCAGAACAATCTGTTTAGCATGCATGCACGCATGCGCCATCGCAATCGAGCGCATTATAGCTATGCAATCCTCCAGCTTGGGAGTCACAGTGCCGGTATCGCTGCACCAGCTCTTGCACGAACGGGAAAGGGCGAGAGAGCGTGGCAACATCAGCCGTAGCCGTTTATTGACCTCTCGCTGCGCACCACTTTCGAAGTAGATGGAGGTAGCAGTCACGAGTGTCTCAGAGCTCTCTTCACTTTAAGTCGCTCCTTCTAACGCGCCATGATGCAGCCACACTCCCACCATCATCCGTCAATGTTCATACCGCACATCGCTCGGTGCCGCTGATCTTCCTCACAGATTGGCAAACACCCCCAGCAGTGCACTAATCTCTCTGGGCTGCACCGCAGTTTAAGAGCCAGTATAATCCGTCTGCGCGAGTCGACGAATGCATTTCTGGAACATTTGCAGCCATCCATCGAGGCGCTCAGTTGCAGCAAAAAGCGGGCCGAGGCTGTTGTAT